TGTTGGTAGCGGAGATAACAGTTCTGAAGGCTATCCTCTCCTCTGCCTGTAATAAGAAGGAAACACAAGTATATCGACTCCCGCATCTTCACCAGCTTGAATCAGTGGCGTAAAGGCCTCTTTGGCAGATGAACTTGCATGAAGATTCGACCAATACGTCTGGATTTCCACCTCCTCGAGATGCGGAAACTTCTCCTTCCGACAAGCCACCACCTCCAACAGATTGGAAATGATTTGATCCGTCTGAGAGGATTCAAAATGTGTCAGTGTAAGCCATTTCAAACCAGGCGGCAAGATCTCTTTAAGCGATGATACTCTTGGATGGTCATCACTCAAGTGGAAATTCAATAGTGTGGAGGCGGGGGTTCGGAGATCCCATAGCTTAGTGAAATCCGCCATTGACCCAAACCAGTCGGTTGGGGGAACGCTCGAGTCATCATCATCGTCGTCATCAAATGGTGCTTCCTGCATCTCCCCTCTATCATTCAGATGAAGGACCTGCAAGCTGTGCTTTTGCGTACAAAGAGCAGAGTGGAATGCCCGAGGACGGAAACTCATATATCGTTCTCCCCATATCACTTGGTTGGAGTGTTGGTATTTGAATTTTTCGAGATTCGCACATGACGTGATAAAGTCCGCCATGCCTTTGCTACCATTGGGATTTGCACCAAATTCTAATTCAAGAATTGGAGAGGTCCCCTTGGCAGGCTTAAAAGCAGGGTGGTCAATTGGAGTATCCATTGACTCGACCACGGAATCCAGGCTCACGGACCGCACGGACGGAAGGTGGAAGAAAGGGAGAAATTCGTTCTTGGGATACCATGCTTTGTTATCGTCCGAAGAGTCGATCCCGACGTCTTCCAAGTGCTGTAGGATTGGCTTCGTGTTGAATGGCTTTTCAAGCATTACGGCACGAGAGAGAACTCGACTGAAAAATTTGACTCCCCAGGTATAGTGCATTAGCAAGCTGGTCATGTTCTCCATGGTCAAGAGTAGTAGGCCAAGCCATGCATCTTCATTGTCCTCTATCAAAGCTTCCTCCCATTCTCTAGTTTCCTCCTCTGATTGGCTGATCCGATTCACAAGCGGTAGGACAGAAGTGATATCGTGATTCTGCTTCTCCCCTGTATAGGAGGACCACCAATGCAACCTGAAATATTTGATGGAAGATCCTATCGCGGGGTTCTCCTGGATGGCCAGGAGAAGAGGGCGAATCTGAGATCCCTCGATCCAGACATAGTCGTAGATTGCCTTGAACAGAACTGCCCGCCAACGGCGACAAACCAGGAGGAACTGGTATTTATCCTTAAACAAGACGATATTGTCAACAATAAGAAGGAGAATCTCATCCGGAAGGCGATCCATCTTGTCAGCCAAGGCGAATTAAGGAGATGAACAAGTCCGGCATCAAGCGGGTAAGGATTTTTCTGCTCTGTCTGGACCCCATTTTAGCGCGAAGGTTGAACCAGACGGAAGTGGTTGAAGCTAAGCCAGCTGAGGTGGGCTCAGGATGAGGACGGGGATGGATAAACGGAGAAAGAGAAAAAAGAGAGCGAAGCGAGTCAATTCACTTGAACCCAACAACAAGAAGTATAGAAACCCATCCCAAGGAAAAGGAAGTAAGTACCTTGAAATGGTAATTACCCTGAGAGGTAACGGGTGTTTCTGATACGCAGTATACTTTTCTGGTCCGCATCTATACTGATTGATTACTGTTGTTTCCAGCCAGATAGTTATTACGCGGATTAATACCGCCCCTTATGCCCGTACTTTTTGCCAGGACCCTGTATTTTATGCTTAGCGGTTCGGTTTCTCCCAGATGATCCACTCCGGAAGGGAAACTTACCAACTAAGCGACATAAACGTACATACCAAAGAACGCCTCGGGCATTTCTCCGGTTTCTTTCCACATTATTGTGCCAGCACAGCATCCTGAAGATGGCGCAGGATTTTTTCCTTCCTTTCGCTGAGGAATTACAGCAATCCCTTGCTGCTCTTCAAGGAACCTGTTTGTTGGTAGGGAATGATGACCAGCTCGGATCGCAGTGGGGCTGATAACATCAATGCAACAAACAAGCCTTTCTTAACCGAACCATGGACACATCCATACTAGAATACCCTGGGAGAGGGAAACGAACAGGTGTTGGCACGTGTTAGTATTACTTACGCTCATTCCGAGTGGTACAGACTTTTATTTACTAGTTATTAGATCGCAGGAGTTCGTCCCTGGGTAGCCGATTGGTTAATAGCGAACCCGCGTTCTTTCCGCAGGGCTGCATATGATGTATCGCTGCCCGGCAGTTTCATCCGCAACAGAGTTGCTTTACAGAGCGAATTTACTAATGTATAACAACACACACGCCTTGTCACAGGTTCGATACGATGTGACCAGATCTGAAACAGCTCTGTTACTTTCTTGAAGCATAAGACATGACACAGAATTAAATGACCTGTTCGGCCGGAGACTTCAGCGCGTATCGTAAATACAACCTGAGAGCAGAGACCGATACAATTAGTATGCAGTATACTGTGAGTTAAGTACAATCAAAGCTGAAGAAAAGCTGATTTTTGTCTACGTTACTACATTGAAGATTAATGTCAACATCAAATATCTACAATATTGTCATGGCTCAGTTTAGAAGCCTTATAATCAGTTAGTAACTGGTGTTGATGCCACTGAACCGTCGAACGTACCTTTCTCGGTGTTCCCCTCACCCATACTCTTACTGCTGCTGCTGCCACTTTGAATAGCTCCAAGAATGCCATCCAGGTATGGAGCACCGCTCCATTTCTGATGGGTCAGCACATCCACGCCCAGTTCTTTCTCGCGGGCCTGGACCATGCGGACATAGGCGAGCATGCCTTCATCCTTGAAGGCGCGCGAGAGCTCCGTCGTGATGGTTGCATTGGTGTGCAACCCAGCGAGAGAAATCAGTTGCAGAACAAATCTTACGTTGGTCAGCTACTGTCAACTTCTTGTTCAAAGAGTATTTACGTACCCATGTTGCGCTAGATCCCAGATGAAGGACTTCAGAGAAGCTTCATCAAAGCCCTGACCCATCCAGTTGAATGACGGGCTCAGGTTGTAGACCAGCTTCTTGCCAGGGTGCGCAGCGCGCACATCACCTGCCAGCTTCGCAGCCTTGGCAACATCCGGATCACCAGTCTCGACCCAAAGAAGATCCGAGTAAGGTGCGAACTCCTTGGCTCTCTTAGTGGCAGCAGCGAACCCAGCACGGTAATGGTAAAATCCTTCCCGGGTGCGGGGGGTATCGCAGGACCAAACCACCGGTGTCTGGGAATAGTCGTCTGCCAGGGCCCTGCGACGAGAGATAGAAAGGTCGGGGTTCTCTTGAACACGCTTCTTGTATGCATCGCGAGCGGACTGAGGCGCACCCTCTGCTTCGAGGTGTGCATCGACAGCTAAAGAAATCGCAATTAGTCAAGCCACAAATGGAGGTACCAAAGATCCATACCCTCATCAAAAGTGACAAGCTTGTGTCTCTTAACCCAGTCCATCTCGTACGCATCGATTTCAGAAGGAGCAGCTCCCTCTCGCTCCATGGCCTGCAAGGTCTCTGCGAGAGGTTCCACATTCTCTGTAACACCGAGAAGGAACTCGTGGTCGCGCACATCGATAGCACTGCTAATCAAACGCCCGCTCTCCGAGTCCGTACGAGCAATGACCAGGTTCTCGGTTCCCATCATATCCCACTGGAAACGTGCCGCGACAAGCCTGTTGATGTGATCTCCAATAGGCACAAGGACTTTGCCAGCCAAGTGACCACATTTCTTACCACCATGAAGCTGGTCCTCGAAATGAACAGCCGCAGCGCCATTCTCTGCAAAGAGCTTAGCCAGCTTCAACACGGCTGACAGTCCTCCGTGTCTAGATACATCAGCCAATCAGTCTTCAAGACCTCGATTAATCCAACATACCCTGTATCGCCGTCTGCAACAATTGGACGTAGGTAGTCGACGTAGGGTGTATCCTTCCTTTGTTCGGGCGTGAGCTTCCGCCTAGCATCCCACTGCTTCCGATCGTGCAGCTGCTGGGCCTTGAACAATCGCTGGACCTGATTTGGAACAGTATTGTAGGGATAGTCACCAAAGTCAGGAGACACCTCGTTGGTAGTAGTCAACAGAGAGGAGCATGCCCAGCCAGAAATGTACAAAACCTCCTGGTTGGGCGCCTGCTGGGTCATCTGTACAGGATCAATGGCACCCACTGCGGGGAGTTAGCATAGGCGAAAGGCCAAGATCGGAAACGGTCCAACTGATGACATACTGGTGTGAACTGGCTTCCCCTCAGCTGCTCGCTCATTCAGCAAGTTAAAAAGCTTCCTTGCCATCAACGAGCTGGGATAGGTCTGCTGCAGCGAGCCTCGTTTGCTAACGACATCTGCGGCTGAATAGGGCCGCTTGATACCCTCGAACCGCGGTGACGCCCACCACGCTTCCACATCTTTAATTTGTTGCTCATACAAGGCATCTTCAGCAGCACCAGCCTTGTCAGCCGTCGACAAAAGTTGGTATGAATCGCCCGGCAGTGCGGATGACACGAGGGGTTCAACGGGGGGCAACGTTGGTGCCGACATCCGCGGATAACCGCATGTGAACGAGCGCAAGGCAAGGCGAGATGGACTGCCGGCAGTCGAAGTGAGAGAAGGGATACGTCGAGGAATTCGACGAGGAACTGATCGAAGCATCGTCAAAACTCAAGCAAGAACGGATAGCGAACGGCTTGACATTGAAGGGAAAGGGAGGAATGAGGAGGGATGGAGTGTCTGATGTTTGGGGGGACACGGTCCGTTTCTCGGTCGGCCGATCACCAGCCTAACCTCGGTCTGGGGGCGGCAATCCCCCCGCTTATCCGCGGTCGGCATGGCGCCTTGTGTGGCTCCACAGGTGGCTGGGATAACGGTGAGGTTAAGCTATCCGTACATTTTGAGATCGAGATAGAAGTATGGATTCGTAATCACTTAGTACACTGTCTGATTATCATAGCTGCGTGCCGTTATTCTACCTATCTGACATACATCATCCACATGGGCGACTACCATAAACAATATCGAGGGATACCTCATCTCATGGCCACATAGATGTGTAGTAGTATCACAAAGCTCGAAGCCCTCTCTCATATGCGTCCCTTAGCATTTGGAAAGAAATCTCGGCAACAGGATCTGTACGGCCCGTGATTGTCACCAGAGTACGAAAGTCTCTATCTGCAATGATTTTGCACATCTTCTTATGTTCTTTCTCTTCCCATCCGGCTTTCTGGCAATCCTATAAAGATGGAACATAAGCATAAGAATTCATCTCTCGGCCCTATGCCAGCGCTCCAAATGAAGAAAACCTTATACTGCTCACCTTATCACAATACATAACCACACCACACTTCGCACATCTCAAAAGAGGCTTATCCTTCTTCCCACAGCCATGACACTTCTTGTGTGTGGCAAACCTCGCCGGCCAACATCTCATCTCGTTGCTCAGCTGGAAGAGCACTTTCATATTGCCAGGGAAGAACTAGTGGGCTGAGATCACCGGTTAGTACGTAGTGCACTCGAAATTGCTTTGCAGTGCACTCATGACTATACCTTGAAATACCCATAGTGCTCCTGCCGAACACCCACAGTACCATCGAGAAAGAGATGGCGTCTAGGAAACAAGATAGCCATAGTATTTCCGGGCTTCAATCTTGGATCATTCTCGATGGATCTGCCTCGATCACCCGTGTAAAAGGCCACAGTGACAGGCGAGTCGGCCCTATCGAACGTTCTCAGCACAAGTCGCGTGATCCGTTCGATACTGACGATCTCCACGAGTAGACATCCGAAAACGCCGCCGCCAGTATCAGGACAGGTATAGTCTCCAGGGAGATCTGAAATGGAGGGGAACACGCTTTGGTCTGCGAGGGAGGCGTAGTTACGCGGCATCTTTGGGGGATGTTGCGGACGGTGTGTAGACAGGTAGTTAAATAGATGGATAAAGGATAATAGGAAGAGAAGGGGGTAATTGGGTAGATAATCCTTCTAGCACAGATGCTCAGAAGGATTTCCTGGTGTATGAGGAGAATCGAGGTTGGGGTTTGACGCGATAATAAACACGATCGATCCACCGGACGCGTTGCTCTTTGAGTGAATGATATTTCACTTCTGAAGACGGTATTCTGGACCCTGACTAGTATACCATCTGCCAGTAGTATAACAGCTTATACTTACTAGAAGTTGTAGCTTGCCGAGAAGGAAGCCCTTTTGTTTTACCATCATCCCAAAGACGTAAATGAAGTAGATGAGGTTCATCCAAATAGTATTACCATCACGTACAATCATAGACGTCTCCAGGATACTCCCATAGCAGCGTTGTATTACACGATTCAGCATGTAACTCCCGAAAAGACTGACACAACCAACACAAAGCCCTCTTCAGGTGTATTTGCGTGCATTATATGAACGAGCGATAGTCGCGCACTAGAAGAAACATCTCAACGGCCTTCACTCACGGCTATACTCTGATAGGCATGGTATGCTGCCATAATGCTGGCGAGAAAGTCGTGACCCAGATCGCCTCTGTAGTCATAACCCAGACTTTCAAATCATGGGAAACTCTATGCCGTGAATGACAAGCTGGCAGCGGATCATCGGAAATAGCTCGCAACCTAATCTGCGCTTCATATCCAACAAAACGAAAATTTCAAGGAAAAGGACAATGCAAAGAGGGAACGGGACGAAATTGCCCTCCTTGAAAGATAGAATAGTTGTAATGTAATCCTAATCGTCCCCTTGTTCATAGTTCGTCATATTATGCTAGTGATTAAACAATATTAGAAGTAGCCCGCTTTCCCATAGGTCAGACCCACTGCTTTCATGCAGGTCGTAGCTACGAACAGCGCCCCAATCTGCCAGCAGGCCAACCTTAAACGCGAACATAATGACAACTCTGAATGAAGAATTACAAGGGGACTTGATAAGCCCGAATATCGCCGGTGGTAGGTAGTACAACCTTCTCACTACAGGAACAGACCTTGTAGACTGCCTTGACACACGCAAGGTAGCTTTATGCAACCAATTGATCGTCAGTTTGATCGAAAAACTCTGCTACTTACCCACGATAATCCTACGGCATGTTCGAGTAATTTGAAATCCAGACTCATCTAAGCACTCATGATAATGCAAGGCTCATCTGCTATGCCAAATATAGCCCACGTAAGGAACGGCAATCCTCAAACCCTCAGCTATCATAGCGGTGAGACGCAACGGCCCGCCAAGAAGAGGCTATTGGCACCGGACTGTTAAGCCAATAGCAAACAAGCCAGATTCAAATCCGGGTGGCGCACTCCACTAGACCTTTATCAGACAAGGTGCTCGGATTTATGATCAGTGGAATCGCCGACGGCTCTTTGATATAGTTCCTGGCCCTGAAGCGGGTCTCCGTCATGAATAGGGCATCCTAATACCATCCCTTGCACCGCCACGCCCCATCACTGGGATAGATGATTGTGATTTGATCACTGAGAGACGGTGTTTCGTACACGTGATTTAGGTGGTCACTAGTGTGCCCAACAAATTGTTCAGCTGGAATGTGTCGCGTATCTCCAGCATAGAGTCACATATATGTGCCTAGTCTCCATTAAATTGGAGTAAGTGGTGAGTTATTTAGTAAACCGCGTCGTGGGATTTGGATCAAGGGCGGCGGAACACTTCAGAGATCCGGATTCGTTATGTCCATGTGTGTATCTGGCGGCACTGTTGCACAGAAAACGAAGTCAGCATGCAGTTGTAGAACATGGTCAACCTAGAGACCTGATGACGAGAAGATCGAGGGCGAATCCGCGCGAAGAGATAGGGCTGGTTAGTGCTGGTTAGTGCTGGTTGGTTACAGAGTCATGGGGCCTCAAGACCGGTCCTGCGTTGACCCCACCATCTTCGAATTATCCTAATTGGAGCAAGACTCACCGAGGAAAAACGGGTCGAAAGTATTCGATGATACCATTTGGAGACCAATAGATTTGTTGCGGCCAGCCTCATCCCACTTCTTTGCTACGTGGTAATGAGGTTTCTTTGTGTGATCCAGTCAGCGCGTTTTTTCCGGAGTCCGAGCATTCTGCACCAGCCAAAATGGCTCAGATTATGAGAGACAAACCAGGTTTTGATAGATTGTTATATATCCCACAGTGGCGCTCGGAGGACAAGCTCGTACATATCTATGCTGTGCCATGACATGTGTCCTAAAACTTAATGTAGGCGCTGAGATGCGAGTCTTGGGTTATCTCGAAGTGTTCTTTGACGACGTGAGATATGGTTCGTCGGTCTTGCGGTTGAATCGGCTATGCCGGGGAACGTTCTTCCATCTGTGATACAGTAGATCTGTTCTGAATTGATTTCGAAACACCAATCGGAGGAGCACGCTAATGCACCATGGATAAGAGCAAGCACGCGGCCCTCGAACACTTCCCACGATGGAAATTGCCGTCCATATACATAGGTGGGGTGCTATTATCGCTTTGATCCTGGAAGATGCTTTAACTCTATATACTTAATTGAGACAGTTGCATGTTCAACTTTGAAGATCTCAAAGCACCAGGAGTTGCAGGTATTGGCCGAGTCAGGACGTGTTGGTCATGGGTTCGTTGCAGATAGAAGCTGAGCCAGGACAGTCGCTGATGCAGTGGAGTCAGGAGGTTTCCACTTTTGACCTCACCATGCCTTCCGTCGTTGCTGCAAGGAGCAACGCGAGGAACGTACTAAGTCTGCATTTTCGTTAAGCTAACAAACTTGCAGGAAATTGCCGTGGGGTGTGGAATATTCACTCGCCAAAATGGACAACCCCGTGCCCAAATCTGGCCATCATTCACACTACCGTTCAAGGCTTTCATTTGAGTTATGGAACCTAAGTGTGCATAGGCAAGCGTTGTGTATCAGAACCACGTCTCCTGTCGAACCTTGTGGCTGCATGCGTCTTCTCCAAGACTAACCTCGAGCTAATTGATTCGTTCCTACATAAGGAAGGAAATCTCGCACCTTGAGAGCTGTACCCCTAGCTCCTACATACTGAATACTGGAAGCTAGCCATGTGTGGACTCACAGCTTTTCTTGCCCTCCACGGGAGGTCTGGCTGGCAGCATGACGAGTTTACAGGCACTGGAGATTTGGAACAGAAGGTCAACGACAGTCTGGACCTGATCAGACACCGAGGGCCTGACGCTCAAGGGCATTGGCTTAGCTCGGACTGTCGAGTTGGTAAGAAGATATAACGTCTTGAGAAGTGGTATGCGATAAATTGACATGGAGAATAATAGGGCTTGGACACGTCCGACTATCAATAATCGACCTGAGTCCCGCCGGAAACCAGCCATTCCACGACAGTGAAGACAATGTTCATGCCGTTGTAAACGGTGAACTTTATGACTATGACCGTATCAAAGCTGAACTATCGGGCGAATATGACTTCAAAAGTAAAAGCGATTGCGAAATTGTCATTGCACTTTACAAACATTACGGAGAGTCGTTCCTCTCGCATTTACGGGGCGAGTTCGCTCTAGTCCTATATGATGCCAGGCGACAGCTGTTCATTGCTGCCAGAGACCGATATGGAATCAAGTCCCTCTACTATACGGTAATAGATGGCCGACTAGTGGTTGCCACTGAGATGAAATGTTTTCTGTCTTTCGGATGGAGTCCCGAATGGAACGTCGCCAATCTGCGGGAGAAGGGCTGGCTGTATGGGCCCCAGATGTACTTCAAAGACGTGAGCCGAGTGAGTGACGAAATCAGTACGACTTCTTTGTACCATGGATCACTGATCATGCAACCAGGTCGGTCCTGGCCAGTACCTCGTTAGCCAAGACTTCAATACTCCTCGGATGAAATCCTACTGGGATCTTGACTACCCCGATAAAGTGAGCAAGCCATTCGCGCGAGATGCTGAATAAATACTAACTTAGTCCTACACAGCATCATGCCTACCCACACTCAGAAGAAGAGACAGTGGCCAGAGTCCGGGAGCTTCTTCTAGAATCAGTGCAACATCGACTTCGTGCTGACGTGGGTGTTGGCGTATTCTTAAGTGGAGGGCTGGACTCTTCGGCCATTGCGGGTATGACGGCACATATTATTCGACAAGGCCAGAGCCTAGGAAACGATGCAAGCGGAAACCTCTCCAACCTAAGCTGTTTTACGGTCCAGTTCGATAAGACCAGTGGCTTGGATGAATCAGGTACTTGTCACTGGTCCTCCATGGTTCCACAATCCACTGACCAGTTCCAGATGTCGCCCGGAGAACGGCCGAATGGCTAGGAGTGGATTTCCACCCAGTCATTATGGACGAAGAGGCCATTGCTTCCAGACTAGAAGATACAGTGTGGCATACAGAGACACCCATACCCGACGTGAATGGAATGGGCCGCTTAGCCCTCGCAGAGGCCGCCCATGCAGCAGGCAAAAGAGTCGTGCTCACCGGCGAGGGATCCGACGAGCACTTTGCTGGCTACGCGGACTTCATATGGCGTTACATACTGGAACCGGACCATTCATGGGCCTCATCGGACACCATGGCTGAGCTATCGGAGGCACGGAAGGTCGCCCATGCGTTAATCGCCAAAGGCTTTCTAGGCGCACTTCCCCCTCCTTCTGATGCGGAGGCTTCACGAACTCTCAACGATAGTTCCGTGTTTCCCAGATTCAACGCAGTATTTCAGCCACGCTTCCAAAAGTGGGTCTACAAAGACAGTCACAATCGCCCTGAGCTGTTGTTTGCCAGAAGCTTTAGTGAGAAGGTCCTTGCAGACGTGGCTACAAAGTGGCATCCGTTGCATTCCTCAGAATACCAGTGGACTAAAAGTATATTGGCCAATTATATTCTCCGGTACCTCGGGGACAACATCGACATGGTGTACCAGATTGAGTCGCGACCGCCCTTCCTTGACCATCACCTCACCGAATATGTGAACGGGATTCCCCCTAGTCTGAAAATCAAATACTGCTCTGCGACAAAGACCTTCCGTGAGAAGCATATTCTTCGCGAGGCAATGAAGCCATTCGTCACCGAGGAGGTCTATAACCGTACTAAGCAACCTTATGTCGGTCCGACCAAGTACAGAAAGAATGGGCCGGTGTATAGGATCCTCGAGAAGTTAGTGACAGAGGCTAATGTCAGAGCTCTGGGGTTCTTGGAGTGGCGTGGGGTACAGGAGGATTTCGTGAGAGCCTTTCGCGATCATGATACACTGTCGTTCAAGAATACACTATCGGTGGCTCAGATGGTCGTTCTTGGGAAGCGGTTCGGGGTGAAGACGGCGGAAGATCCTCAGAGAGAGGTGGTGGCATATGAAGGGACTGAGAATGCGATGCTTAGGAGTCGATTGTAATATATGCTGTGTGTTGACACTAAGATAATTAGCACAGCCAATGCAGTGAACTGAAGCATTGTTGAGCTAGTTATGGTGCTTCGGAGAACCAGTCAGTATCAGCCTTTGTGCGTGGCAGTGGGAGCCGGAATCGGATAGTGATATCGGCAGTCTTGTGGCAACACTTCATGTAGAATAGTGAGATTGATTTGAATCCTTCACCTGCAAGTCTTCTTTGTCAGGAATTGAAGGCTTAGGTCATCATCTGCAAGGGGTGATTAGGTTGATATGACTGTGTGAATGTACTATAATCTCACCGAAGCTTTGAAGATGAGCGGTAGGATCTATCATTAGCTTACTCCCCAGGAAACACAAAGTATGGAACATCCACCCCCATCAACTAATCATTCTATTCAACACTAAACGCCATCACTTCCCCCGTTTCACCGCCCATCACGCAAACCCATTCGCCCTATTAAACTCGTCAACCACCTCCCTCGTCGCCTTCACAATCTCCAAGCACCCCGGCGAATCCGAATGACAACAAATGGTAACCGGATAATCCTTAACCCCCATCTGCACCACCGACCCATCAACAGCCGTGGCCGACGAATCCTCCACCTGCTGCCTCACATGCGCCTTGACATCCTCAATCTTCCATGGCTTCTTCTTCCGATCAATCACCAGCATCCCATCTGGCCCGTACTTGACATCTCCGAACAGCTCCGCCCAGAACGGCACCCCCAGCTCCTTCGCCGCTTGCTCCATGTATGTTCCTCCTAGTCCTACTACCGGAACCCCGGCTGGTATTCCCCTTATGACAGCCCGCGCGACTTCCAGGTCGCGACACATCATGCCGTAGAGCACGCCGTGTGGCTTGACGTGGTGGAGGAGGATGTTTTCGCGTGCTAGGAAGCCTTGTAACGCCCCGACTTGGTAGATGATATTGGCGGTGTGTTCTTCCGGGCTGAGCTTCATTTCGCGTCGGCCGAAGCCTTGCACGTCGGGGAGGCCGGGGTGGGCGCCGATCGATATGTTGTGCTTTTTGCACAGGGAGACGGTTTCTTGCATTATTAGGGGGTCACCGGCACTATATTAAAGAAGAGAGGGTTAGGTTTGGGGTGATTGTTTGGGGTTATGAGAAATTGCTGCGTACTGGAATCCACAGGCTACGTTGGCCTGGTCGATGAGGGGGATGAGTTCTTCATCCGGGCCGCATTTGAAGTTCCCATAGCCTTCGCCGAGGTCGACGTTGATGAAGACTTTGGTTCGTAGGGGAGGCATGGTGGTGAGAGTGGTTATGTGGTTTAGGGGTACCCTGTATGTGTGAAGTGGGTGACGATATATGGGATGGTTGTAAGATTAACTGTTAAGCTGTTGGAATACGTTCATGGTTGGTTCCATGGTCCTGGGAGGTGGGGTTGTTGGAGGCGGGGAACTGCCTATCGTAGTGTTGCACTGCATTGGCTGCATTGTGCCTAAGTTTTGGGCATCATCACGTATGCCGCATAAAATTGACTTCAGTGGCAACCTGGCATCTTTATCGATGCCTTGGAGATCCCCCAAAACCAATGTCTTGGAGGGATTACTACGACCCACTTGCGAGGGGTTCGCTGTGTCCGTCCAAAATAGCGTGCGGAGTAGGGATCCATTATCCCCTCATCTTCCCGGCGCCTTATCTCTCCCTCCCTCCTTCCCGCTCTCGGTTTCAGATCAATGCCGAAATCGGTCAATAAGCACCAACACCCAGGTGACATCAACCCATCAAAAGCTCGACTTTTCAAACCAGGTTCTCCTATGATGGCCCCCACGCCAAAGGACCCCAATGTAGCCTTATGTTGACACGACCATATTGTCAGGAGCGTACAAAGGATACTCGTGGAACACGTTCCGCACACCTGGGCACGCATAATTCCAAATACTTACTGCGAGCATGCCGTTATCCCGTCCAAATTGCTATTTCTCCAAAGCAGGGAAAGCTTAGGTGTTGCACCTGATGCTAGCTGTGCGACTGAGCCTTGCACACAACGCCGGGATGCATTCGGTTGCCGACCAGAGAGAGAGCCATTCGAGTGACGTTGAATGTCCCGGGGATTGGAACAAACACGAGGCCAGCAGTCATCCTGGAGACCAGCTTGATTCTTACTCGTGGATCTATCCGAGGGCGGAAGACATTGTCTAACATCTGGGAACAGGCGACAACCTTGTATAATAAGTCTAGACCATGGCATTGTAGTTGTATTCCTGGCAAACGGACAGACTGTCGGGTCGACTGACCACATGCCCTCCTTGGGATTCCGCCATGTTGATCGGAGCGTTCCATTGCAGATGGCGCTTCCTTAGAAGATGGGCAGATTTTGAGACGAGTTGTGATTGAAAGTCCGGTGCTGCTGATTGCTTGTCCTACCCATTGTGGAGCGGTCAACCGTTATCCAGGAATGGATGTTTTGGATGGTGTGGGACCTAGATAGGATAGACGGACGGTAAGTCAAGTAGTAAAGTCAAGTCTGGAGCCTGTTGCCTACTGGGAGATGTCTGTACAATCGTAGTATCTTCTGCTTTGTGCTTCGGTGGCTGTGAAGTCGAGGATAAGCCGGCAGGTGACAAGGCGAGGCGGTCGAATAGGAACGCGGGGATTACCTCCCTCCACCACCCACCAACTGCAATCAACTGCTGTCGCCCACACCGGCTGAACCTCTCCGATCCCTCTCAACTTCATCCTGCTCCCTGGTGGCGTCTGTCATCCTATCCCTGCCTCGCAGCGTTGTTTCAACATCGTCTGTGGTGTCCCCTGTGTTCAGTAACCCCTTCTTGAGGAACTGCTGCCATCTTTGTGTTTTTATTTCAAATAAAAAATATGCACTCACTGGTCCACGGGCATTTTCGTCCTCGCAAACCGTGGCGTTTGTCTCTTCCCCTCCCGCCTCCATCCATTATCATCGAAACCTGCATGAAAGGGAGAGTTCTAGCTCCAATCGCCATGCTTCCAATGGAGACCCGGCTCTTGTCTGAGCTCCTACCTCGGATCGACGAATCCGCGTCGCACAACTTGCACCAGCTGTCTCCGCAATCTGCTGCTCTAGTGCAACTCTTATCACCTGGAGGTCCCTCTCTCTCCTCACCGTCTGGGGCCGTCTCGGGGCGTTGAGTTATCTATCGCACATCCAGGCTTTCCCTATCTTTTCTGTTTCCCCTGCCATCGGACAGTCAAAACAGCCTTATCTGCTTTGGACGTCTCCACGAAAGCTGTTCGGTTGCTCTCCCCTCTTCCCTTCCCACCACCTAGTTGACGAGGCGAACCCCCTCCCTCTTTCCTCGGACAACTGTCTTCCTTCTCCTCATACTTTTTATGACACGTTCCATTTGGAATCGGTTTATGTCATCGTCACATCAGATTCCGATATGGAAGACATCAACATCCCTTCCCCATCTGCTATTCTAGACGTTCAGCGTCCCTACGCATCGGCAGCCGGGCATTTCAACCCGTCTGTCTCTCCCAAGAACTCGACTGCAGGCCAGCGAGGTGCTGCCAAAGATCGTAGCAAGCCGAAGCAGACCAAGAGCCGTAACGGTACGGTATCATTACTTTTCTACTAGTTTTAGCGCGATGGGCATGGAGGGCGACAGATGTGTTGAAATAAGAGCACAAGAAGCATGAGCAGAGTGACAAGGGCACAGACGCTCCATAAGTCGCAGCGCGCTGACGTCTTATTGTTCACCTTATCCAGGCTGCCAGACTTGCAAGGACAAGCGATTGAAATGTGATGAGACAAAGCCAAGTTGTATTCAATGTAGGAAGCGAAACGTGACATGTGAAGGATACATAAAGAAATTCAAATGGCGCAACGGCTTTGGGCAGAAGAATTTCGTTGGCGGAACGAATGGCAGTGCAAATACAAAGAAAGGTATGCTAACAGCCCCAGGCCATCTCAACTTGAGGGTGTATTGCTGACGTTCCTGTAGCTATCCAATATCAGTCTAATGAGAACCCAAGTACAGAAAATTCAGGATCCCCCATTCCACAGAACCAATCCAGGGCATCAAAGTCACAGCAAGCTGCCTCTAGCCTTCCTTGCATGGGCTCGGGGTCTTTTATGGATTTTGCTGACCTGCCCTCGAAGAATGCATCGCCTTCAAAACGCACGAACAGGCGTTCATTTAGCGACAAGGATTCGTTTAGCAACCCAGATGAGTTTATTGGTCAGCTAACGCCAGTGAGCTTCAATGAAGACATTCTCGCATCGTCATTAACAGACATCTCGCCTTCAGACCAGATTTCTTGGATTTCTGATTTCTCATTGGCTGCAGTAGAGCAAAGGCCGGGGAATGGGCGCGAGCCCAAACGTGACCTTGGGCGCAATAACTCCTTTGCAGAAGAAGGTTTTAGCTTCGAAGAATTGATGGAGGTTGATGATGAGGATATCGAGGAGATAGTACGAAGGCCCGACCGAAGCATGAAGTCCGGGCGGCCGGAGAACGCCGACATGAACATCGCTCCGCACCAGGAACTATTCAACATCTGCAGGGAACCCAACCTCGGCATTGCAAGCCCAGAAATGCTGGTTTTGCAATTTGATAGGGTGACGTGTGGGATATTGTCTGTAAAGGACGGTGTCCACGAGAATCCGTGGCGAACTTTGATCTGGCCCTTGGCTAAAGAGACTCCAGCTCTGTATCATGCTGTGTTCTCGCTTGCTGCCTTCCATTCAAGCAAAGAGTTTCCGGCCTTGCGAGTTCATGGTGTGGATCATATGCGCCAGAGCATCACCCACTTGGTGCACGACATACGGAACATGAGGGTTGATGCAGCATTAGCGACGAGTCTGGCGCTTGCGTTTGCCGATACCTGGGACCAACACACTCGTACCTGCATTCAGCATCTGAAAGGTGCCAAAGCACTGGTCTCGCAAGTGGTGGGGCTCGGTGCTCAAGGCGAAATTCGTGGGATTAACCTGAGCAGGGTGCGTTTCCTCTACAACACGTGGCTGTATATGGACGTAATTGCGCGCTTGACCTCTCGTGAAGAATCGGGGGATCAGGAGGTGAATGCTCCCTTCTTCCAACTCCCAAGCCACGCTGTACATGAAATTGATCCTCTGATGGGTTGTGCAACGACACTATTCCCTCTGATAAATCAAGTGGCTCGGTTGGTTCAGCGTGTTCGCAAGACGACATCCAACTCCATCTCGCTTATTTCGCAAGCCATAGAGCTGAAAAGGCTTGTTGAGCAGTGGGAACCACCGCAATTCTTCGAGCCTCCAGAGGACCCATCTTCCGAGGTCCAGCATAGTATTCAAACAGCCCATGCTTATCGCTGGGCAACACTGTTATACCTTCACCAGGCGGTACCTGAGATGCCTTCAGAGCCGACCTCCGAGCTTGCCAAGCGCGTGCTGATTTTGTTGGCTACCGTTCCTTCAAGTTCTCGAACCCTGATTATCCAGATGTTCCCTCTGTTGGCGGCAGGATCCGAAGCAGAGCAAGAGGATGATCGTCAGTGGGTGTTGAGCCGGTGGGAATCTATTCAAACCCGCCTCATGCTGGGCTCAATTGATCGCTGCATTGAGATAGTCCGCGAAGTCTGGGCACGCAGGGATGCTTTTGAAGATGAGAAACAACGGTTGCGGGGATCTTCTGGGCGTGGGATCACCTCTGTCATGGAGAATTCGGCGAACGATAGAGTACCTCTCACCAGCCTTAGACCGAATGATCAGATGGTCCGTAGTACCTACGCCAAGGAGCCATGGAGGAGGACGATTCAGGAGGAATGGTTGGCCTCTAAGGCTACTATTGGGAACTCGCGACGGAGCTCCGCGATGTCTCCGTTGGAGAATATTGAATTCGAAAAGACGGTCCGGGGCAAATTGCACTGGATCAACGTAATGCAGGACTGGGGATGGGAAGGTATGTGTGAGCTTTTGCTTGTTGTTTCATTATCTCTGCTTTGCTATTCGTACTTGTGGAGAACACCAGCTCATTCATATAGTGTTCCTCGGTTAAGACCAGTGCTAGTGTGTTCGACACGAGCGCATCTTCATCACCGGGCGGGGGCGGCCAGCACGATCGTTATTCTTGCTTCCTTTCCGACATGGCTGCTCTCGCTGAGTTTGTTGGTCGGAATTGCTCGAGCTGGTATTCGTCTCGGAATCTTCGGCTGGATCCTCTGTTGGAGAAGCTGGGGGCTCATTCTTAGCCAGATACGATCGGAGGGATGCCAGATAAGGCTCCAAATCACTCGTTATGGACACCGTAGTAGCCATGGTTGCGAGGGCTGTGCAATGATTGCTTGGTGATGGCGCGACGGAGAATATATGCTTTTTGGCTTGATTGAATGGGTATTGTCGCGCGGGGTCTTACACTGGAGCTTGAAATCAGCAAGGCGTTCTGCGATGAGTGTAGCAAATAGTCACATTCTTTACGGGACTACCTGGAAGTTTTGTCAGGTCCCGGGGTTGCTTTCTTTTGGAATCAATTGATGTCGAGCTATGGCGCGTCGGTGTATGGTCTTGAGTGTCGCTAGGGAAGAGCAAGATATTCCGACCGAGATTACTGGCAGACTGAATGGCGCATGGGACAGACGATAGTAGTTCGCAAGGGGGAGTGTACTATGAGTACTAGGATTGACTGGTTGGCGATTCGACGAATATAGGTCTGAATGGGGGCAGACAGGCGATGGTAGGCGGGCAGTCGCAGGGGACAGTTTCTGAGAATGGTCGATCGTATACAACTGTCTACAAGATGAACAGTCGGGGCGTATATGCGAGTTGGACGATGGTTATGCTGCTAGGAAGTAGTTGAGGGGTTTCTGCGTGAGGAAGAAGATTTGCATTGGGTGGCCGTAAGTTGTTATTGCTGCTTGGGCTGTTCGATCGGGTGTGCTTTGCTTTTCTTGGTCGACAGTCGAGTTTTCCAGTCTTTCCTTCTTTCCTTCTTTTTTCCTTTTTGCTTTCTTGCTTCTTCAACTACCAGAAAAGAAAGGATCAAAAGACTGCAAGACAAAAGGTGGGAAAAGCCAGCGTTTTAAAGACCGGCCGATCCCCACCAAAACCCGCAGGACTACGGGCTTAGTTCAGCTTTTGCTTTTACTTGCTTAGGAAATGGAAAGGTTGAGTTAGTTTTTTTACTCTACTTAGTTAGTCAGTCAGTCAGTCCGCTAGTTAATTAGTTGGTTTTCTTTTCTCCTCTTTTTCTTCTCCTGTCGTGGTCTGATTTCGGATCTTGCTTTGCCTTGCATAGGAGAGTGATTTTAGTAGGAATTATGCAAGTAAATCTGCGGATGAGCTAACCTACTTTTTCTTTTTCTTTTCTTTTCTTACCGTATGGAGAGTCCGGTGGTGGTGCTTGAAGATATACACACTCTTGATAGGGGAAGAATCCCCGGGTGGATAGGTGGGGAAGGAAGATGGAGAGAAGAAAGTGACTGACTGACTGACTGATGGATAGGATAGGATAGGCTTTGCAAGTTCGACTTTACTGAACTGGGCAGGTGGATGATCATTCTCTGAAAGGGGAGGGAAGAGTGGAGGGGGGAGGGGCTCAGACACTCGCTGCATGTGAGCTGTTTTTTTTTCTTTCTCTACAGAAAATAAGGGTATGGTCAGGTGGATTGGACTAGTTAGGATATAGGTTTATTGGGAATTGATTAAAAAGTCGTCATGGATGATGAAGATGACGAGTATGGTCAGTTGCTTTGCTTTGCTTGTTGTGGCTGTTGTTGGATTTTGTGGTTGAAGTGGAAGTAAGTACAAAGTATAAGATTTGCTGGGGTGAGACGGTGTCAGCATGGAGTTGAGGGGAAGAGGGGAGGGATGATGGATACTATGCGAGGGGGGCCATAATTACTTACTGACTAGTATTTAGTTAGTTAACTAGGTACTACTTACTAAGTAACCTTGATATCGTATCATATCATATCATATCAAATCCACGAGGATTGGTCGGAAGTACTAACCCATCTGGGGTAAAATATCCTGTTCTTGCTTGTCTGCTTGTCTGCTTGTCTGCTTGTCTGCTTGCTTCCCCTGCCGTGCGTCGGATGTCCATGCCTTGCCTTGCCTTACTTGATCTTACTAACTAGGTCATGGTTCCTTTTCGGATGTGGTATCCTATCTCTTCATTCTAATCATCTTCTAGGATAGTCGATAGTAGTGGTACTCCGTACATACTATCCCTGTGTCTCTCTCTCTCTATCAGTAACTATCAAGGGCACCCCGGTTTACTCCTCCCTATCTGATAACCCTTTTTTTCGGAACTGAGAAAATTCCCCTCATCGAGTTCAACTTCTCTGCTTGCTTACTAACTGGCTACCCCTCAGTTCGCCAACTCCTACTGGGATTGTACTATTCTATGTCTTCTACGAGATGTCGAACGTGTGCTATCTATCCCCACTACGGGAGTCGGATCCGTGGGAAGAGAGTCAAACAAACAGCAATAGCAAAGAGGCGGAGAAAGAAAGAACCGGATTGCTCTGCACGAGTGTATAGGTATTCCATTGTAGGTAATGAGATCAGGAATGAGCGAGGATACTGTTGAGGGGAGGAATTGGTATAAAGCCAATAAACCTCCCAGTGTAATCTAAAGAATGGAATATTAGAAAGAAAGACTCTCATACAAGTATCCAATTTGTGACTACTACGAATCCCTATACACCAAACATGGCCATCGCATTCAAGCACCACCCTCGATCCCAACAAACCTATGAGCCTCCGCTCATTGCCAATGAGAATGCATTTCTGGGGGATGTGGATTCAAGGTATATACCCCATCATCCCATTCCTTTCAATAATCTTTTTTTTTCCTTCGCATGCTACCTCATAGTAATGAGTGTACTAGTATGTGAGGCAATCAGACACTAAATATGGTATAGTGACAGCTACAACCCCGAAAAACCCATCTCGGCCGGTTTCTACCGTCTGGAAAAAGGGACCCCACTCGTGTACGAATACACCTTCGATGAGATGAAAATCATCCTGGAAGGCAAGTTCGAGATCTCGGATGAGACCGGTCAGAAGGTTGAGGCTTTTCCCGGGGATGTGTTTCATTTTCCCAAGGGAAGTAAGGTGACTTTTACGACACCGTCGTATGGGTTGGCTTTTTTTGTGAGTATTCCTTTCCTTTTCTTTTCTTTTCAATGCTTTGTTTTTCTTTTTTTTCTCTCCTGGTTGCTGACTGGAGTGATGGTGGTAGACGGGACAACGGGCCAAGAGTGTTTAAGTGATGATGTAATTGAAAATATCCTGGGTTGTGTTGAATTAAATTCAATTCCTTGCTGTTAAACCGGGTTATTTATTACTGGAAGATAGTCTAGTTGATGGCTGGGAGATGAACCATGGTTTGGTAGACAGAAAGGTTCCACTGCTTATGGGAGCGGTTCCTTGGTTGTGTTTACGGGAAGTGTAAACAAGAACCAGGGCGCGATGACGCCGGTGTGGATTGCAACCCCTCTTCTCTAAATCAACTTGCTAGTAACTAGTACTGTTTCAATGTTGAATTGCTTTAATTTAAAAGAATGGAATTGTTGTAGTCTGGACCGAAACACTATGTTGTGTGACTGTCAGTGTCAGAGCTGTCTGTATACACCCGATGGATGGGGATAAAATTTAGCATCACCACCACCAACCAATTCTCCTCCCTCCCTCCGTAAAATGATCAACTCAGATCTGCCCCATGGGATCGGAGCGATCTCACCCAACAAGGTTCCAGATATAGAAGGAACGACTAGTTTCACCCAGATTGCTGGACACACTAATTTCTCACCCCTCCCTCGTCTAAAGGTAGTTGAGTGGGAAAATGACGTGCAGAGACACTCTGACTGGTGGTGGGAGAAGATGACTCCATCCTCAGCCTCACGAGTTCCCCAATCATCAGCCGAAAGGGCGTCAGGAACGAGATTGACTCGCGGCTGGCCCTGGCATCGTCACCAGCATTAGGAGAGCAGATGGGATCGGAACAAGGGAGTTACCCCAGCAACGTTGCGATGGTCGCAGAGAGAGGGGCGGCGCAGAGTTGGATCGGTGGCATCTCGTTGGTCTGTTAAGTCAAGAGTGGCTGGTTCTCAGCTGCGGCTCATCTTTTGCTTTGCTGAAGTTAAACTGTAACTGGGAGAAGAAGGGGAAAAGTGGATGAGTTGAGAGAAAGAAAGAAAGGAAGGAAGGAAGCAAAGAAAGAAAAGAACAGTAAGAAAGTTGAGAGAGAATAATTCACTTTCTTGAACTTCCACTTCCTTCCCCCCTCTCTTTCCCCTTCCTCCCCTACTTCATTCAACAAGCTTCTCCTCTTTCTCCTTCTTCTCTTTCTTCCTCCCTCTTCTTCATCATTCCCAATCATATCCATCGGGCATCGTCTCTTTCTCCCCTGACTGACTTGTTCTCCGTCGGGTCATCGTCCTTGCTTCTCTCCATTCCTGCCCGAACAAAGTCATTGATCTTCTCTGTCTCCTCTTCTTCCTCGTTGCTTTTTCCTGTCTCTCCACCCCTTCTTTGCTTTTTTTTATCTTCCGTTTTGTTTTCCATCCCATTTCTTTTTCCATTCGCTTGGGAGTCCGAGTCTCTCTACTCGTGCTTTAATTTCCTATCCCTCGTTCCTTTTTAAATCTCCCCGCCACGACCTCTTCCACCTCGCGGTCGTTGTTTAAAGAACACCCCGTGTTTGAGCTGGTCCATACCTCCACCTGTTGAGAACGGTCGCCCACCACACTTCCGAGCCCAACATGGCTCTCAATATCGACACCTCAGATCGCCCGGGCCTCCGTCTCCCCAACCCGCCGCCACTCCTTCATACTCGTGCCGGAAATGAAGCTCTCGATCGCCCCTCCACACCCGCTGAAAATGGCTTCACCAGCCCCGTGCAAACCCCTCAAGGGAGTCCCAGCAAAAATCGCATGCCCCCCGGCGCAATCGACCTGCCCAACGTGTTCGAAAAAGCTCTCAAGCTGAACCCCACCTCGCCCACCAAAGGCACCTATAACCACTACAACCACCCCATGTTCGCGCCGCCCCGATCCGGCGAGGACTTTACCGAAAGTGTCATCCGTCAGCCACCAGGCAGTCCCACGCGCAAAGCCAACAAAGAAAACACCCCTCCCAACTCCACCCGTCTCACCAAAGACCTCGGTCCGAACCCCGCGGCTGCTGCCATCTCCCGTCATGAGCCATACCAGCAACGAGATCTCGAGAGCATTCAGCGTCGTCAAGTTCCCATGCGGGGGTTGACCCCGGAGGAGTTGGAAAAGCTGCAGAATCCTAGAGTTAAGCGATTGGTAAATGTGACACAGCTTTGTAGGTGCCATACCTTTGCAAGGAAATTCCAGTGTATTAATTGGCTAACTATTTAGACTTCCTCGATCATTACTTTGATTTACTGAGCTACGTGCACAACCGCCAAAACCGCTATGCGCAGTTCCGGTCTTCCAACCCCGAGCCCCCCGCCACTCCGATGGAGACGTATGAGCCCGCTCTGCTGAAATATCTGGGTCGGGAACGGGCCCACCTCCGCAAACGCCGCACTCGACTCCGCCAGCACGACTTTCAGATCTTGACTCAAGTGGGCCAGGGAGGTTATGGACAGGTCTATCTGGCGCAGAAGAAGGATACGCGGGAGGTGTGCGCGCTCAAGGTGATGAGCAAGAAGTTACTGTTCAAGTTGGACGAGATCCGCCATATTCTCACTGAGCGCGATATCTTGACGGCCGCCAAGAGCGACTGGTTGGTCAAGCTGCTGTACGCGTTCCAGGATGACGACCAGATCTACCTGGCAATGGAGTATGTGCCGGGAGGTGACTTTCGCACGCTGCTGAACAACACCGGAGTCTTGCATAACCGTCATGCTCGGTTCTACATTGCAGAGATGTTCAGCTGCATTGATGCGTTGCATGCGTTGGGATACATTCACCGCGATTTGAAGCCAGAAAACTTTCTCATTGACTCAAGTGGTCACGTCAAGCTGACCGACTTTGGCCTGGCCGCGGGTATGCTGAACCCGGGCAAGATTGAGTCCATGCGGGTGAAGCTCGAGGAGGTTGGCAACACGCCGGTGCCGTTCGGTCGCCCCATGGAACAGCGCACGGTGGCAGAGCGTCGCCAGGGATATCGGTCGCTGCGAGAGCGCCAGGTCAACTACGCCAAGTCGATTGTTGGGTCGCCCGACTACATGGCACCCGAAGTGCTCAAGGGCGAGCAGTATGATTTTACGGTCGACTACTGGAGTTTGGGATGCATGCTTTTCGAGGCCCTCGCCGGATACCCGCCGTTTGCGGGCGCGACGGTGGACGAGACGTGGCAGAACCTGAAGAACTGGCAGAAGGTGCTCCGCAAGCCGGTGTACGAAGACCCGAACTACTTCCTGTCGCGACGCACGTGGGACCTCATCACCAAGCTGGTGGCGTCGAAGGAGAAGCGGTTCAAGAACATTCAGGAGATCCACGCGCACGACTACTTCAGCGAGGTGGACTTTAACCATCTGCGCGAGCAGCGTGCGCCGTTTGTGCCCGAGCTGGATTCGGAGACAGACGCGGGCTACTTTGACGACTTTACCAACGAAGCGGACATGGCCAAGTATAAGGAGGTTCATGACAAGCAACGCGCGCTGGAAGAGATGGCGGAGCGTGATGATAAGATGAGCAAGGGATTATTTGTTGGATTTACATTCCGGTAGGCTTTCCCATCAACTGCGTATGTGTAATTATGCTAACAGCACCAGACACCGCAAGCCGGCCATGGACGGGCTAGGCCGCGGCTCACCGCGCAAACCGATCGCGACGGACGGATCATTCGGAACGATGTTTTAGGCTGCATGAATGACGGGAGTTCTATTCGGGCACGAGCTGGATCTCGAGGATTGTTTTAGCAAGTACTTTTAATGGAACGGATACGAAATGGGAAGGGTTAAGAGAAAGGAGTTGTGTATGATACAGCTATTGTAGACCTGCATGAGTTGCAAGTATACTAGATTCAGAATAGTCAATCCCTTCACTCCAACTCCTGCACCATCTTGAGAATCTCCGACTCATTATCCCCAACCACAGCCTGTCCTTTCGTCCAGTCGACTGTCTGCACACCAACCAGTTAGCATATCTATCCCCTTGCCCAAACCCATCCATCCCCTTCTCCCCCCAATTCATACAATGAAAGGATTGGAATCGATACTTACAATAGGTCTCACAAAACTCCCCTCAGGATCCGCCTTAAACCTCTTAACCGCATCCTCCGCATCCCTCGCCCCCCTCACCACCTCGCCCACACCATACACCTTGCCAATCCCCGCTCCACTCCCCGTGTTACTCCCCGATACATAGTCAAGGATATTCCGCAACTGGTCGTTCGTCGGCGGCGCTGTGCTCACCTCCAGCTGGAATTCGCCCCGCGGAGTGCCTGAAGTGCTTGTGGCTGTTGTCGACGCGCGTTGCAGGATGGATAAGGCGGATTTGCTAGAGGGGAGGTTCGGGGCGTGGAAGAGGGTTATTGGGTCGAGGGTTTTGGCCTATTATTTCCCCGGGGGGGAGGGGGTTAGTTGGGTTGGGATGGGGTGCAATTGGGGATTGGATGGGGATGGACGTACGAAGCGGAAGACCATTTTGGATTGAATTGGGCGTATGTATGTAGATGGTGGTGGTATGTAGATGATGTTGATATGGCAGGGGTCTGTTTGTCTGATGGATTGAGATAATTGGAGTGGTTGGTGGTCGGAGGTTTGGCTGATTACGTCATATGGGTTGACTCACTGGAGCTAACGCCGTATGGAGGTGTAGGGGAAGTGTTTTGGTTGCCTTTTTGGGTGCCCGACTTTTGGTTTCTTGTACAGTATAGGTTTCTATTTAATTCAGGTTTATTGGTAGAGACATCTTGCATAATTGGTATTATTGTTAAAATGGTTAGGGTATCATATCATCTAAAACATATGCTATTTACTGTACTTTGTATGATGCTGCAGCACTACCACCCAAACTGCTCAACATGCAGGTATATTCCCTGCGCCCCCGTCCCCTTATGTACTGCTCGCTCATCGCTCAGACACACCACACTGCGTCGCACGTCGTCGGATAAGCCCCTCGGTCCACACACCACTACCGCGCTCTCGCCCTCTGCTTTCTCGAGGACCTTGCGGATGATCGTGCGCGCGTGTGGTCGACCAGACAGGACTGTAAGATTGGGCAGCGGGTTCTGCATGGCCTTCGAGTCTGATCCTGTTGCGAGCTCGCTGGTAGACTGCGGTGCGGCATGCCCGGAGCATGTACAGGTTGTAGCGTCGATGGCATCTTCATCTTTGATGGGTGCTGTGCAGCAGCATGTTCCGTCTGGTTGACAGCCAGACTGCTCCACAGATTCGATGGCTACAGCGTCGGTCGCTGCTTTCTCCGCTTCGAGGGATTTCTCGTTCGCAGGTAAGCTTGACTGCAGCTGGAACAGCGACTGTTCCTGGGCGCAAAGCGTGTTCTGCGCCTGCTCTAGCTTCTCGTCACAAGTAATGTAGATGCTCATCTCGATTTCCCGAATGACGTCCGGATTGGCGAGCCGAACGTCCTCAACATCCCTAAGCACCTCTTGCAACTGGCGGTCGAACCAGCTCAGCTGCGTGCGCGATTTGATCACCCAGACGAATCGGATCCGCTTGGTTGCTGCAAGCCGCGCTGTGCTTTCAGCCTTCCACTTGGCGACTATATCCCGCAGGCACGGCACGGTGAATGTCGCCCCCATGCCGCCGGCGAGTAGGATCACGCTGTCAAATTGCTTCAGAGGCCGCATTTGTCCATACGGTCCCTCGATGAAGACTGTACGTGCCTGCTTCACAGCCACCTGGTCACTAGCCCCAAGCACCTGGTGGTTCTTCGATGCATATCGGAAAAAGCGTCGAGTGCCGCCCTTTTCTGCGCGCACGTACATCACCATCTTGTTGTCTTCTGGTATGGACGCAATGGTGAAGGGATGGCTCTGCAGAGGCACAATGGAGTGGCATGTGAGAAACACATGTTGACCCGGTTTCCACCCGACTCCAGGATTCTCAATCGCTATACGAGTTACATTGCCTGGCAACGGGGTGAAAGTCGCCCGATTCGCCCAGAGAGCATGAGCCGGGCTCTTGGAACGATGGAAAATCGACAAGTTCGCATAGGTCGCCCACAAGTAGCGCGCCACCCGATCAAAGACAAGAAAACCGATGGGAATCCACACCCACACTTTGACTTCTGCCGGTGCATGAAGCCACACGGCAACGATGAAACCAACAAAGGTCACCAGATGCTGTAAAACAAAGAACTCGTACCCAAGCCGTCGAATGGGTGCGGCGGACGTAATCAGGATGAAGGTCAAAATAATCCATGCGGCGAAACCTCTCGTTGCCAGGGTGTAGTTCTTCAGCTCGTAGACGATGTAGTTATAACGGCCCCAATCACGAAACCAAAAGCACATGTGAATTGTAGCGGTCAGCCACAGCGTGCGCGCGATCCACCTATGGAACCAATTAAGACGCTCGTAGCTCATACCTACGAGCATGCCAATGAGGTTTTGCCTGCCCGCCAACAAGAAGATCAACGGCAGCTGGCAAATGGCAATGAACCCAGTGCGGTAGCCCACATCTTCCCATTTCCACTGGTCGGCCGTGTCCAGCTTGTAGAAACAAAAGACGAGCACGACGATGAGGTTGGCCAGGATGATAGACACCGGGCCCAGCGGCGCAAAGTGATAGGAGTGGCCGCGGAATGACAATTGGGGTAAGGTCGCATAGCTAGCTTCACGCACGATGGCCGTTAAGGTGGCATATGTGCTGAAGAAGATAGTCTTGGGCTTGGAGGGGGTCAAGGACGAGTCCTTTAACCTGATGGAATGAGCATACGTTATTTCGTTAAACAATGGAGCTTACCTTTGGTAGGCGAGGAAACGATTCAGAATATTAATGACTGTTCCAGCAGCGATGGCACTACCTACAACAGCCCAGTACATCTTCTGCAGATAGAACAGACCAGGCACGCCATCTCCCATGGACATGTGGCCCATGCCAGACATGGACATGTCCATCTTGCAGGTATGTAGACTAGGAGTATCCGGATTAGGGTATAAAGAAAGAGAACTCAGTATATACTAGAAATGAAAGAAATTGTATTCAAGCATGATGGTAGAAGAAACGCACGATGTACATCTCGCGGGGAACGAAAGAGGAGAAAGCAAATGACAATTAGGCGAAAACGAGCGACTAAGGGCCCGAGATCGAACCCGATGCCAATACTGCCTATCTACTGTAGTCAGTCACATTGAGTATAATTGAGAGAAAATGAGAGGGAATAATAGTCAAAGCGACTCAGTGAGTAGTAATAATCTGCTCAATCCCCACCTGCTAATCCGGCCATGCTTTCGGACGGGCCTTGAGCTCTGCAGCTGCTGATTGGCTCCCGCAGCCAAAATGTGCTCAAATGCCGCCCAAATGTGCTCTAGCGCCATCGGCCGCTTACCTGGCGGGTCCGCGAGGTTTCAAGGTCCTTTAAAGATGCGGAAAATCACCGGATGTGACAGCCATGGCCCGCTTTTCTATGTCTTCATTAACATTTCATTCCTCTTTTTTCTTCTTCCTTTCCCCAATCCCGTCATATAAAGTATCTTGTACATAGGGCTGGTGCTTTGACATCTTTAAATATATCCATTTTCCCACATTCCAGTTCATACCTCATACCCGAACCGTCCATACCAAACACCACCCTAATCCTACTCTACTCCACTCACACTACATCACGACTTACCAACAATGGACATGAGCTCAATGACCGGTATGGACATGGGTACCACCTCCACTACCATGTCCGGCATGTCAATGGCTACCTCCACCGCGTCGTCCACAATGGACATGTCTATGGGCACCTCTACCTCCATGTCCATGCCCATGTCCACCTCATCCTCTTCTTCTTCTATGTCTATGTCAATGTCAATGGTCTTCATGAACGCCCACGACACCCCCCTCTTCTCCAACCAATGGACCCCGTCCTCCAGCGGCACCTACGCCGGCACCTGCATCTTCCTCATCGTCCTCGCCATCATCTCCCGCTGTCTGGCCGCCTTCAAAGCCCTCCTGGAACGCCGCTGGCTCGACGCTCACGTCAACCGTCGCTACATCGCCGTCGCAGGGAAATCCACTGAAGCAGGTCGCATTGACGCTGATCCCGAATCCAAAGAAGCCAGTCTCATCACGGCCCAAGGTGTCGAGGAGAAAGTCAAAGTCATCCACAAAGCAGCGCGCGAACCTCTCCCTTGGCGATTCAGCACAGATCTCCCTCGCGCGCTGCTCTTCCTAGTCATCACCGGTGTTTCTTACCTACTGTATGTTCCCCTACCTCACCTCCACAAATATATAACACATACTAATACAACAATCACAGGATGTTGGCCGTCATGACCATGAACATCGGATACTTCTGCTCCGTCCTAGCCGGTGCCTTCCTGGGCGAACTTGCCGTGGGACGCTTCATCCAGTGGAACGAGCATGAACATTAGTCCTACCCACATACATGCATACATACATATTCATTTCGGGTTCCTCGAACATAACGACTTCTATTTCGCACGGTGTTCTCGGTTCGGGTGTTCGGTGCTGGTCTGGCGTTGCATTGCATTGCATTGCATTCATTTCATGTTTCTGGGATAGCGAGTGACACGCACGTGCACTGTTGGCTTTTTGGTTGTTTTCAGATACCACCTCCCGCTTATTGGTCTCTTGGATCTCTGCTCTGTGTCTCTTTTTTGCCCTGATACCATTACAGTCGAGAGTGTGATTAGCTTAGACTTCAGTACATAGAGATAATGTCTGCGGAGGTTTTGGACTGTGTCGGCATAATACCATGGTTTTGGTCGAAAGGCATAACATGCATGGGCATACCAAGTACATAATCCTTGTAGGCTTTGCAGGTTACAGTGGACTGACTATTGGCCTCACGCGGACGGAACCCAGACGTGGCGTGATCGGCTGTAGGTTGTCCCCCTCCTATTGGTGCGGACGGGACCACACGGACGGCGCGGGCAGGATCCATGCCACTAACCGCGAATGGCAATTGATACGCTGCGGTGTCTTTAAGATAACTGTCGATGCTATTCAAGTTGAAAACCCATCCGTAAAGATACTAACTACTTACTTTCTATCGACATTTTGTAGTAATACGCAGGCCTCAGACTACTGGTCCCCGGATCCCTATCAATTGCAACCTCAAAAGCACTGGTCGGCCGTGTCAGCAATCCCGCCTGAGCGTACGTATCGTCGATCGCCTCCATCTGCGCAATGCTCTCCTCACCGTCGATCCACACCCCGGAGCCCGCACGACCCTTGATCCGATTGACAAACTCTTCTAGTTGGCAGCGCCAGGTCGTCCACCATTCCTGATAGGTCTGCGCTCGCACATCGCCCGCTGGCCAGTTGTATGCTTTGGCATACTCCATTACATCCCACGTCTTCACAACCTCTTCCCCTCGGCGGAGAGTATGTGTGTCGCAGATATCGATCCGGTGGTAGACCGTCGGAATGAGGTGATTCCACAACGTTACTTTCCTTCTGACAAAGTGGCGCGCTCCATCGTTTTGTTCATTAAGCAGTATCTCTCCTGTTCTTGCTTCAGTCTTGGGCCATCTGAACGACGGCAGGGAATGAGACCATGCCGCCGGAAGAAACGAAAACCCTCCTCCAAATAACAGATCACCCCTGATTTCTGCGGTCTTGTCACTGTCTGTAGCGTAGGTAGCTTTTATTGCCGCGTCAATCTGTGGCTCCGGCTGATATCCATCTGATGCAACAGGCAAGGGGCGATGCAGTGCTTCAATGCAATTGAGATGCTCCCCTCTACCCAGCACCTGCCGCACGCAGGAGAGGGGATACGTTGCTAGGTCCATGAGACAGCCACCTGACAAGCCATAGTGAAAGCGGATGTCGTCCATTTCCAAATACCCTTTGGGGAGATACTGCTGGGAGTAGACATGCTCTACAGTGGCGCCCCAGGGAAGGTGATCAATCTGGTAGAGAAAAGCCTGCCAGGCTGGGTGAAATTGATAGTGGAAAGCTTCAAGAAGGACCGGGGCATTCGGCGCAGTCACTAATGGATGTCTAAAGAGTGACCTTGCCTCATCGGCATTCGAACAGGACGGCTTCTCAAGAAGAACATGCTTCCTTGCTTGTATGGAACGCAGGGCCCACTCAAAGTGTAGGGAATTCGGCAGAGCAATATAGACTGCGTCGATGGTTGGATCGCTCAGAAGTTCTGACACGTGCATTAAGACCCATCCATGCTCTGTCAAATTCAAGCCAGTTGTGGAGAATCTCACCTTGATAAGTTTTATGGACGATCGGAATGTTGTACTTCTCGGCGTACTGACGGGCCCGCTCGGGATCTCGAGCAGCGACCGCTGCCACGATAACTTCCGGGTGCGACAAGGCGGGTAATATTATGGCCAGGGGACTAGAGCAGACATAAATCAAGTAGCCTGCAAGTCAGTGCTTCATCGACTTACGCTATGGAGGATGCTCCAAGCAGTCCTATTCTGATGGCGTCATCCCTCTTCCTTGGGGTGGGCGAGCTAACTGCCGCATAGTAGAATCGCTTCAAGAAATCGAAAAATAGCATACTGAATAATTGCTGGGAATTGCTGAAGTTTAAGTAGATTTCTGTAATACTATTTGATATGCACTGTGGCAATGGCACGTAAAGGTAGCACGGACAACACTTTGTTGTATGAGGCGGGTGCTTCCCGCCATCAGTTGTTCTGGACTGCATCGACAGACAGCAGGTGACTTCCGCATTTGATGCTGTCCGTCTGTTTCTCTCATTCATTTATTTATTTGGGAAGCTGCTGGTGTCTCTCCTTCCAATTCTCACAGTATCAACATAGTGCTTTCCTAAAATGAGTGTATGGTATTGAAACGCAATATTACTCATAGTTATCGAGTGCAACGGTTTTCTTCATATCAAACTCGCCAAATTACTTTGGTCTAGAATCATGAAATTCCTCTTGTAGAGTCGACACAGCCAAGTTCCTGCGAAGTAACTGTTGGACAGATGAATTATTTTAATGTGACTCAGTGGAGGAAGTAAGATGTGCCTAGAAAGATGAGCGGGGTACCATTCCGTTCCTTGGTTATCTAGTGCCCTCAAACTGACACTGAAACCATCTACTAGTAAGTTGACACCGTATAACCACATTAATTCACAAGATAGTCCCCCAACTCTTATATCCGAGGGTATAGACCTGGGCTCAGGCACAATGGACAGGCTTGGCAATCCCCAAATGGCGGACTTGAACCGGGGAACTTCACCGGATTTGCCAGTCTTGAGAAGAAATGAGCACATTTCCTAACCCAATCAGCCCTAGTGCTACGAGGACTCACTGCAGGGTCCCTAGAGCTCCAACTTCTCAGTGGCACAAAACAATATCCAAGATTCATGTTACTAAGTAGTGACTAGTATCAGATCCATCGGCTTTGGTCTCTGCTTCGGGAATAATACTCGCTCATCCTGTAATTACCTCGCTAAACCCTGTGCAATCCCGGTCCTGCCGTAGGATTTCATTATAATCAGCTCTTACCCGCTCAGAGCATGTCTTGCATAACTATAAAACTATCGAGGATCCCTGTGTAATATCTATCCCACGTCACTTTCGCTCTTCAAACCGCCGATCCCTCAACCTTCAACACCATGAAGCTCCCTATCCTCTACCTTGCGTCTCTTGCACCCTTGGTCGCCGCCCACTTCGAGCTCAAGTATCCTACCAGCCGTGATGGATCTGAAGAGCAGATGACCCAATTCCCCTGCGGCGGAGCTGCCCAGTCCAGCAACCGTACGCAGGTCTCGATTTCCGCCGGTTCTTTTCCCGTCGCATTGTCCATGGGTCATTCCCAGACTGCTGTCGAGGTTCTACTGGCACTGGGTTCCGATCCCGGAACCAACTACAACATTACTCTTCATCAGACCTTTGAAATTCAGGGATTGGGTGCTTTCTGCCTTCCGCACATCAAGTTTGATGAATCCATCCTTGGCACCAACATCACCGATGGAATGAACGCAACTGTCCAGGTCCAGAGCAATGGTGATCCCACCGGAGGTCTTTACGCTGTATGTTGCCCTGTCAATGATTACGTGTGTGTAGATGCTAATCTCGCCCAGTGCGCCGACATTCAGTTCTCCTCCACCGTCTCCTACGAAGAACCGTCCTCCTGCTCGAACAACACTGGTGTGACTGCTGTGGCTTTTACTGGAGCTGCGGCAGAGCGCAACGCCAATGAATCCACTGCCTCTGGAGAAGCGCAGAGTAGCTCCTCTTCTAGCACCTCTTCGGGAAGCTCAAGCGCTGCTACCTCTACTGGCGGTGCTGTTGCTTTGGAGACTGCTGCGTGGGGTATGCTAGGTGCTGCAGTTGTTGGTGGAATGGCTCTGTTGTAAAAGTAGTCCAATGCACAACTGTCTATGTTGCATTAGGCGACTCGGTACACCAGAAGATAACCTTGGCTCGCACTCGTTTTGCCTTCTCATGTTTATTCTTCTAGGGCTCAGGGTCTACCAGAATAACATTGTTTATTCGGACTTTTGGATGTCCCTCGCCGACAATCCAATGTCTTCGATTACATCCTGTGACGGCATATCCCTGGTATGTGCTCGGGCTCATCATTCGTGTATAGAAAGTTGGAGCCATGTATTGTGGTCACTAGTACTTCTCAACCCGCCCTTGGCTATACATTCTCGGATTCCAAACTCGTCTTGTTGAGGATGGAAGTGCAGCATACGTTTCATGATTCATGAATACCCATTGTAATTAGCGAGAATCAATCAAAAGCTCTCGAATTTATATAATCTATTAGGAGTACATTTCATCGTCTTGTAGTCGAACCTGCGTTCAATGATGCGCATTCCAGTAGTCATTTTTGTCAATACTATCACGAATTCTGATTCAACCACGCCCCGATTCTAAGATAGAGTCCTTTGCTATTCTGTGTCTTCCTTCGAGGAGGACCGCGTGCCTCAAATCTCATCGGAAATATGCTTGGGTTGATATCACTCCAGAGTACAGGTATAGTGCTCATACTTGCAGTCCCGATGATACGCAACGTGGTACTGGGACTGACTTCGTATACTGCCAGCGCTGATCTGGTGACTATATCATAAAAATATACTTCCCCTTGTCATTGAGCTACTTTGTATTTGGTTTTTAATCGACTGATCCATGCAATCCCCTTACGTAGCGATCCGATGCGAATACGTAGAGAGGGCTGGGACATTTTGTTCTGGATTATAGAAGTAACATATTGTTGGTAGCTATTGGATTTCAAAATTACTGGAACTTAACTATCCTTATTGGCCATTGCCGTATTGTTGCATAGATGTAGGATACTAGTACAAATTGGTTACTTGGAGGTTGATAATTGTTAGTACTTACCCTTGAATGATCATTTTTGAACCACTAAGACCTAATATAACCCAGTGTATCAGCTATTGGCTAGATAGTTTCTAGGCAAGCGTACACCGTTGGCTTTGAGTATTCAAATGAATATCATAGGTGACCATGACATTGTCTCTTCACTCAAAATGATATATAAATTTATACTAACCCCGTCTACTCACTATTGGAAATCAGGTAGCACTACACAGTACATCATGTTACCATCCACCTCTGAACACTCTTCATAACAACAATGCCAATATAGCGAAAACCCTGTGTATAGTCAACAATACAGCTCTATCCGCCAGTAGCCGCCGTCAATAAGCTGTTCATGATCAACAATTCCATCATCGATAAGCAGCCAATCTCCGCAGGCGGTAGGCCAACATCCTCGGCAGAATCGCGGGGAGAGGCCGTCCGCTCGGCATAATCCATGGCTCTCTTCCACAGTTTCCATCCTTTAAACACGAACCTTTGTGTACGGTGTCTCATCTAACCAAGGGTGATAACTTCAAAATGACTACACGCGCCCCCTTTATTGTTCCGGCGCTGAAGAAGCACACCGCGACGGTGATCATGGCCCACGGTTTGGGCGACAGGTTGGTCCCTAGCATACGGTGCTCTTAATGATTTACAACTGGCTAACTTTATCCTGTCAACAGTGGTGCTGGATGGTACGTACATTGAGACTATGATGTTTCACAAATGACGGACGTTACTCCTTCGAAACGAGACTTGAAATAACTGAGTCGAAATAGGATGGCTCTTGCCCAGAACTGGCGCCGCCGCGGCATGTTCGATGAAGTCGCCTTCATCTTCCCGAATGCCCCTATGATCCCTATCACAGTGGTATGCGATGGCTGTCACCTACGGAGCTCTGGGAATACTGAACTGAGTTGACGGGTAATAGAACTTTGGAATGTCCATGCCGGGATGGTACGACATCTCCAAGCTGGGTCGTGACGTGAGTGGTGCATCCACATCTATAATCCCGGGGTAAAGAGATTAATGGCTGTATAGTTGGATTTCGAAGAAGCCATCCGCCACCAGGACGAACCGGGCGTCCTCCGTTCCCGTGAATACTTCAACTCCCTCATCAAGGAGCAGATCGACAAGGGTATCAAGCCCTCCCGCATTGTCCTCGGAGGCTTCTCGCAAGGTGGAGCGATGTCCTTGTTTGCGGGTCTCACGAGCAAGGAGAAGCTGGGTGGTGTCTTCGGTCTTTCCTGCTATTTGTTGCTGCATGACCGGATCAAGGACTTCATCCCCGAAAACTGGCCGAACAAGCAGACGCCCTTCTTCATCGCACATGGCGAAGAGGACGAGGTGGTCAAGTTTGATTTCGGTAAGCAGTCGGCCAAGAAGGTTCAGGAGTTGGGTGTCGAGGATGTCGAGTTCCATTCTTACTCGTGAGTGTTCCGTTCGTTTTCTTTTTTTCCTGAAATGGCTTGCTTATACTTGGGCAGTGATCTCGGCCACTCTGCCGATCCCGACGAGATCGAAGATTTGACAAGGTTCCTTCAGAAGGCTATTCCTCCGGAGGAGGGTCAGTCGGCCGCCGGATTATGACTTGGTGATGGCATATCCGTGCCTGCTGCACCATCTATAGGTGCTAGAATCACATATAGCATTTTCCTTGGCATCGTTATATGGAGAATTGCGGTTATGCTGTTGGGGATCATCTCGGGAAAGAAACGGGATGCGCCGATAAAGCAGGATTGAACATACAATTAGCTTGAATACATAATAGATCAAGATGCATGAAATGACGAAATCTAGTAACCATCTATTCGTCGCTCGTAATCGAAGATTCCACCCACGTTTACTCTCCCCTCAAAGCCTTCTGAACCGCAGCCTCAATAGCAGCCACCATAGCATTAGTATTCTCCACATCAAACGGCACCATATGCTTCGACCCATGATCATGGAAACTCATTTTGCTCGGCTCACACAGCCTGGACAAATGCATGCTAGACGGATACAGCTCATCCTGCTTTCCCACAATATTCGCCGTGGGGATCTTGACCGGATACTCGCCCTCAGCCGAAGTGTCAGGGATGACCTCATTCCCCGTGCTGTCAAACGGTGCAGCACCGCAGATAAACACGGCGACCTTGAACAGAGGCTCTTGATGCGTCTTGGCATGGTGTACAATCATGGCGCATGCCAGGGCAGCACCTTGCGAGAAACCCATGACGGCGTCGAAAGGACCCTCACGCTCGATGATATCGTAGACGTGTTTCATTGCGGGGGCGAGATATTCACCCGGTGCCCGGTCACGAGGATAATGGTTGTAAAAGGGGCCATTAAAGAGGCCCTTTAGCTCTATTTAAAGTGTTAGCTAGCCATCACATGTCTCCAAATATACTCCGAATCTTGTCTTTGGTGTGGAGGGCGGGGGAGGGGGGTGATGTACGAGGCTCAACTTCGGCTTCCATGCAGCCATTGTAGTATTTGAATGTATGGCCATATTTAGCGAGGTCGTAGGAGATGCCACCTGATTGCGATGCAAGTTAGATTGGCAATTATGGCCTGGCGAATTGGACTGTTGTTCAGATACCGGATTGGATCTCGAAGATCTATTGTTTTTGTGTCCAACGGTTAGATTTGGATGGCGGGGAAGCGGAGATAAGCCAAAGGCAGAGAGAGATGCCCGCCAGCAGGGAAGATGCTTTGCTTACTTCGGCGTTGGTACCTGCGCCGTGGAGACAAAGGAAGCGCATTTTGGATGGTTTTGTGAAGAGGTTCTTTTTGTGTCACTTCTCTCCGAACAGATGTTGATCCTGGGCAACAATTGCTGACAAGAGAGGAAGATGAGGAAATGTGTTGAATACTAAACTAGACTACGCCTTCCGACCGTCAGCTGAAGCACTGGCCTGCCACTATGCCACTAACGTAAGACAAACCCTCAGCCTTCTCCATCTACTCCTGGACTATCTCCATCTTGTCTCTGCATTTCTTCAGTCATCATCCTGTCCAACCTAGGCTATGCATCCTTCTCGGCGATTTACAAGACCTTCTCTTGTCCTACCCCCTACATGCAACATGTGAAATGTCACAGTTCACGGAGTTTCCGTTCATCGAAATGATCTCCGGCACCGAGGGCGGCGCCCGTGCCCCCTTCGAAACTGGTCTTGCTATCCTCTCCCCACTGTGACTTGAGTGGTTCTGTGCCTCTACAGTCCTACGTGGTCTTGATAGCACTTACTGCTGCTCGCAATCAATGGCATCTGTCGTTACTTTCCTCTCAAATGTTCTCTCCCGCCCCGTGGAGTCCTACTGCAGCTTTGGTCCGACGGTGAGTGAAATCACCTTTGGACTGCTGGGGTACTCCTTCAATCCGGAACGCGACATCAATGATCTATCAGGGAAGGTTGTCTTCGTCACTGGAGGTGTGTGTGTTCTATATATACCCTGGGCTATCTATCGCAGTGCGCTAACTTCTCTGCTCCGTCTCAGGCAATGCCGGTCTAGGGAAAGAAACCGTCCTCCAACTCGCTCGTCACCGCCCATCTCGCATCTACCTCGCTGCGCGGAATGCGACCAAAGCCGAAGACGCCATCGCTTCAATCCAGGAGCAGGTGCCATCCGCCGATATCAGACACATAGCCCTCGACCTGTCCTCATTCAAGTCGATCCGCGCCGCTGCCGAACAGTTCACGTCAGAATGCGATCGCCTGGACCTCCTGGTTCTCAACGCCGGAATCATGAACTGCCCGCCCGCTCTGACAGAGGAAGGATTCGAGATTCAATTTGGGACCAACCATGTCGGGCATTTCCTACTCACCCAGCTACTACTACCCACGCTGCAACGAACAGTTGAGCTTTCCAGGGATGTCCGAGTAGTAACATTGGCCTCTGCCGCGAATGTCGCCGCGCCTCCCTACGATGTCATGACCTCTACGCCGGCTTTATTAGCCGACCATACATTGACCCGGTACAGTGCCTCGAAGGCAGCAAATATCCTATTTGCGTCGGAGCTGGCTCGTCGCCATCCGGAGATTCTGTCTGTCGCGGTACATCCCGGCTCCGTTGTGAGCGACCTATGGGACCATACGATCAAGACCGGTGTCGTAGCCAAGTACACTATCGGCGCCATCCTTGCGTTCAGTCGGAGCATACGGAGCGGCGCACTCAATCAGCTCTGGGCCGCCGGGGCGAGAAGAGAACTGTTGACCAACGGGGCTTATTATGTTCCCATTGGGGTGCACGCCACGGGCAACCGGTACGCGAAGGACGTCGACATGGCACGGCGACTGTGGGAGTGGACTGAGCAGCAGATTGCAGAGAAATCGTAAACTTGTCCGGTTCCAGTGATGGTTTGGTCTAGTTAGAGATGTCGACGGATATTCTTTTCAGGAATTTGCGTGACCATGTTTTGGAGACAGCAGTGGCTGTTATAGTTATATTAATTTCTTGATACCTATGGGAATAACATGCATGATGTGATACCCGACTGTTCGTCAGGGTCCGGATCGCGGGGTTGAAGGCGGGTAGACTCGCAGATTACCGGATTCGGTATGAGATGCCGGAAAGCGGGTGGTGAGCGTCAATCCGGGCGAAAGCCATTGGTGTGCGGCACAATCTTGTCCCAAGGTGCCAAACAACCTCGCAAGAAAAAGGGACCAACCTGCTGCCCATGGAAAGAAAAAAAAAAGAAAAGAAAATCTCAATTTAATGTCCCTGCCAATTCCACTATACCTTGATGACATCTGAAATGTTGCTGATCTCCCCCCATGGACGCCAGTCTAGAAAGTCAGCAGCGGCCGCGATCGTTAGGGTTTAGCCGAGGAGCCTCCCTGTCCAGATTCCTCGTTTCGCCCACAACCAACTTCATCCAGCACGGCCACGAAGCGCCTTTCCCATGAAAATTGTAGTCCCATAGCCAAAATAAAGCACATAATATAACCATATCATAAAGAACAATATCTTATATTCTACTTAACGAGTTACACAGCGTAGAAAAATAAATCTCCATGTCGTAGAAGTACTGAGAACGTAAAGTCGGCTTTTGCATGCTCTGCTCCCCACACAAACCCGTGCGAAGCGCATCATCGAACTTGAACTATCCTCATCCTCATCCTCCCACTTCACCTCCCTCCTCTTCTTCTCCCTCCAGCACCAAATACTCCCCCCATCATCTCCTTTAGGTACGTATTATACACCCCCCGTTATTTCTCCCTCTAGAACCCGTTTTTCCCTTTGGACATTTCGAAATCGCTTCTCCCACTCAAACGACGAGTCATCCGCGAATCTTCTGTCCCGAATTTATTCGTTCCCAATTCCAATTCGATCCGGTCGCGCGAATTCGACGCTCAAAACGCTCCGCTCCCCTCTTACGCGAGAATGACTCTGCACATATTCCACAATACACATATCATACACTCAAAAATTAGGAAGATCGATCTCTGACGTCTTTGGATTTTTTCCCCCTCTCTTACAGGTTGAAAGCACTCAAGCTTCAATACTCCCGTCAAAATGGATCAGGCAAAGTTGGCTAGAATGCAGCAGAGCGTGCGGATTGGTATGTACCACTTCTTTTCTCTTTAATTTCTTTTGTATATTTTGTCATTGCTCCGTTCATATCCGATTTATAATCAATATTCATGGGAGGGATTATTGGTGGGGGAGAGAGTGTGTGAGAGAGAGCTACTATTTGGTGGTGTTATGGGATCCCGATCCGATTTGATTCTGCAAGGAACGAAAGAGGAAAGAGCAGGAGGAAGCAAATAGGCTCGCTCGGAAGCTCAGCATCATTTCGGATTGATTGATTAGTGCTGCGTGTTATTATTGTTTTTATACAAAGTTATCATGAGGAACAGCTAAAGCTAACATAACCTTTCTCACTCTGACAGGGTACGTATAATGAAACACACACATTCGCATCCCACGAGACACACACAATCCCCTCCAACCCGAACCCAACCCCGATAATCAGAACCCACGAATCGAAAACTAACTGCCCAACAGAGGCAAGGGTACTCCCCGCCGCAAGGTCAAGAAGGTCCACAAGTCCTCCGGTGCCGACGACAAGAAGCTCCAGGCCACCCTGAAGAAGATGAACGTCCAGCCCATCCAGGCCATCGAGGAGGTTAACATGTTCAAGGAGGACGGAAACGTCATCCACTTTGGTGCTCCTAAGGGTATATATCCATCCCCAACCTATCACAGGAAAGCAGCATACTGAAATAGTTTTTGTGATGGTAATATAGTCCACGCCTCCGTCCCCTCCAACACCTTCGCCCTCTACGGCAACGGCGAGGAGAAGGAACTCACCGAGCTCGTCCCCGGTATCCTGAACCAGCTTGGCCCCGACAGCCTTGCTTCCCTCCGCAAGCTCGCCGAGAGCTACCAGAACATGCAGAAGAACCAGGCCGGCGCTGACGGCAAGAAGGACGATGAGGAGGATGATATCCCCGATCTCGTTGAGGGCGAGAACTTCGAGAGCAACGTCGAGTAAATTTATTAAAAATTTATTTTTATCTTCCCTTTTAACCAACCATCAGCTTGAAATTTATTTGAGAGGAATTGATATCATCTTCGTTGCCCTTGACAACTTCTTTTTTTTTTCTTTTCCCTTATTCGTTGTACGGACCACTTGTCGGTATAATTATTCCGTTTACTGGAATTGGATGGATCCTAATATATCTATAAGAGGAAGGACGAGATGAATGAGGCTTGTGTGTGTGCTGCTCTTTTTTTGCCCTGTGGGTGTGCGCGCTGAGCAGATTCTCGTTTTTTCTTTTCTTTCTTGCTTATGGTATTCAATATCCTTTTTGGAGCTTGGAGCCGGAGCCGGAGCTGGGGGCTTGAGCTTGAGCTTAGGATTGTTGGTCGGAAAGGAAGAGAGGTTAGTCGGCTTTTCTTATAATGAAAGCAATGATTATACTTTTTCTCGATTTCTGGGAATATAAAGTTGAGAGGGGTTTTAAGGAGGCCCCGTAACTTCCATGGTTCTTGTTGGGTCTGTGGACGATAGTGTTACTACGCCATTTGGATGACTAGTCATGA